ATTGAAAAATCTTCCTGGATGGAAGAGAAACGTCTTCAAACTGGGAAACAAAGTCCAGAGGATTGATTTAACTTTCTGGAATGACTCTGGATGACTGAGAATCTTCACCTGCATGTATATGAGGGATTATAGAGGTTTGTCTTCATAACAATGTGAGTGACTAATGAAGATGATCTACTTTCTATAGTTCTAGTGAGGACGCAGGCAGCTGAGTTCTTCTGATCTACTATAAAGGTCCAGATCTAGAGCCTGGTTGCTGCTTTCCAGCTGGATTAGCTGAAGCTGGAGGCTAACTTTGAAAAACTCTTCCTTTGTTTTAGCCAAATATCTCTTAGTTGTTCTGTGAAGGTTCTCAGTAGAGATAAGATCATCTGCCAAGGTTTCTGCTCAGAGAGAAAACGTCATTCTGAACAAGCAAAGCCATAACAGCTACAGGTAAGCTGCGTCTGATTCTACTTGGAAAAATCTGGAAAAATCTGGAGACAGCAACATTTTCATGTTACTGAGGTCGTTCCTTCTAAAAACAACGACTAGCTGTTTTTCTGACACCAGATAAAACCTGTAATGATAGAAATATTTATGTTATATCTTTAGGTTTCCTGTTTCACAGAGATCTATTTAATGCCTGGAAGTGATTAGCTGGGCTGGAAAAGGTTTAAATTCATTAGAGGTTTATTATTTCTGCAGCCTTGCAGCAGTGAACATGGTAACTCGTCCTGCAGAGATGGCATACGCACAGAAAACTAACAGGACTCACAGGAAGGGAAAAATAGAGTTTTCCTAATTAGACCTGGAAACATGGAGGGACAGGAAGTCCATCTGTTACTCTCTCCTTCCCCGCAGGGCTGCTTATGTCTCTGAACCTTAACAAGCTGCTGCGTAGCACCCGTCTGTGTCTGTGAGCGCAGCTCGGGTCGGCAGAGCGGCCAGCGAGCTTTCAAAGGCTCATCACCGTTCAGGGCCGATCAAACTGACCCTGAGAAGAAACAAGATGAGAAGATTGCTGCTGCCAGCAGAGGTCGCTGTGGAGCACCGTGTGCATTAATAAAAAAAGGATTTATTGCATCATTTACATTTCAGAAATGAAGCAATGGCTCGGTCAGCCTGCAGACACGATGTGAATGCTGCAAACGGAGCAAAGACCGGCTGCTCTCTAAACCCCACCAACCATCAACCCTTCAGCGCCCATCATCATCATCCTCAGTCCTAATGACCTCTCTGACCTCTGGAACATCTCCCTCTGCAGCTCAGGGGAAGAAAGAAGCTCCCTCTGGGTTTTCATTCAGCGAAAAATAAAAACAACAAATACAATAATAGGAGATTTTTTTCAGTATCATGAACCTGAGGTGCAGAAATGAGAGAATAAATATTTTCTTCAGTTTCTGCTCCGGATGTCCAACCAACAGATCGCAAACATCCTGCCGGAGCCTTCGCTGTTTCTCTATATCTGTTAGCCGAGTCTAAATCTAGATATCGATCTGATTACGCAACACAGAGAAGCGGAGAGGCAGCGAAGTGGGAGCGGACGAGGCCGAGACCCTTCAGCTGTGAATCAGAGCAAACAAACGGGAGGAGGAACTATTTTAGAGCCCCAAAGATGAGCGAATGGAGGCCTCACCCTGCTGCTGCTGCTGCTGCTGCTGAGTGGGTGCAACTCCGCTTCCCACTCACACACACTCATCTACTGAAGCCTGTATTCCTGTGCAGTGTGTGTGTGATGGGGGAACAACTCAAGATCTATTTTTACACACCATGAAGATACTAAATACTTTTTATCCTGCCTGCTGCCAGGGGCGGATGTAGAAAATGTGGGGCCCTGGGCAAAGACAGGCAGGGGGCCTCTGAATGAAGAAGACAAGAACAGCCCCATTCTCCAGATGTAGAAATGTTAATAGAATAGACATCCATTCTCTGTTCTAGGTTGTGTCCCTCTCTTCTTGTCCCTTTTCTTCTTGTTTTCCTCTCTATGTTTTGTACTCAGCTGACTTTTCATGCTGTCTCTAAAGGAATGAAAGATTTTTTCCAAGCACTAAGCTCA